AGCCCAGAAGCCATCCTATATCAATCCTTAAAGGGCAGAGCAGCAGCATGCTCTGGCACCTGATAATGTTACCTGCATCACACAGCAATACTTTCTGCTGAGTCAGGATCAGCCTTGACATGTTCAGAACCACCTACTTTTCAATTCTCCTCTCCTGCTTTCTTTTTCTCTCCCTGTGTATCTTCCAAAGGAATGAGCTAAATCAGTGAATTTCCCTTTAGTTTTCTTCTCCTGTCCCATTTCCCATGTATTTTTCATCTGCTCCTTCCACATTAAACCTGATTTGTTTAATGTCCTCTTCCTTCTTGACTAACCTGTTTCATTCCTCCTTAAATACAGTATTCTAAAAAGTGTGCATCTGTACCACATAGACCAAATATGTACATGTAACAATCCAGCGTAAGCATTACTGTTTAAACTCAGTTCTGGCTGAGTAAGGGTTTATCCCAGGGTTAAATCAACGTGGAAAGGCCCCCTAAGTATGTTACAGTCAGGTTTAAACATACACGTACACATGCACACGGATACACAGGCTCTTGGCCAAATGTCTGTCTGTCTAAAACACATTCTAATATGGTTCATGCCCATCCAGAAAGGCTGGTTACACACCACTGTAATCTTTCTTTAAACTGTGGTGGTTAAATGCATTTTATCTGCTCTGGGCAAATGATGCCTTTGTTTTCCTTCCATCTCCTTATGCAGCCTTCATGTGGCATGTACCTGGATAAAATTATCCCCTGGCAGGCCCAGTAAGCTTGGAGTGTCCCCTCAAGTGGCTTTTTGTTCACACGGCAGTGAAGAGACTCTCTTGCATCCTCCTGCCTCTTTCCTTTGTCACTGTTTTATGCCTGCACCAGCACAGGACTTTGAAGACAGAAATGCTGCCTCGGATGTTCTCTCAGAGTTTGCCTACCACGCAGCCAAAGCTAAAGCATGTGGCTGAATGTCAGGACGCCTAGCTCAATTCTCTGCTACGCTCCTTGTCTTTTTATGCAGCTTTAACCAAATTACACACCATCTTCTTTCCTACCAGTCAGACCGTCTTTAACAAGGGCAACACTAAACAACTCTTGATTTCCTTGGAAACAGGGATGGCTTAATTGCACTGACAGTGTCTTGAAATTCTCAGGTGGGCAAAATGTTTATTCCATCCTGAGCTGCATCACTGCATGGTATTAACATGCATGGCCTCTTATCTATTTCCCACTCACCTCCCTGCAGTTCCCTCAAGACATCAAGCAGCAACAAATAGAAGGAAAATCCTTTTCCTCCCTGGAACTCCTTTTTATTCCACAATTTATTTTCATGAGATGCCTCAACCTCAGAAAGGTAATCCTGCCTGTGGTGCTGAGCAACTGTGACTCACACTGAAATCAGTGGGAGCGGAGAGTGCGCAACTCGTGGCGGAGACCAGGCTTTAACCTTGCCTTTACTATTTCAAAATTTGACAGGCTTGTCGTGAAATAAAAGGAGAAGCACATCATTTACTGAACAACTTTAACACATTTCAGCAAATTATTCCAGGAACAATATGTCCATACAAGGGAATTCTACCTTAAAAAGGCAATGTTAAAAGAAGTCTAGCTGTAAACAAAAACTTAAACCTGTATTAACTTCAAAGCTTAAAAGGGAAGGGAGCAAAGCACCTGGCAAGACAAGGAGAGATTCTAATCTCCCCTTTTGGGACAATTCCCCTATTTTGAGCTTTTGGTTCTTTGCATATAGAATGATATGTACTCAATTAAATGTCTTTTTATCCAGGGCAACACAGACAGCAGTTCTAAGGTGGCTAAAGCCAATGAATCCAGGTATCCTCTGACAACTTGGAAAGGAAGATCAAAGACAAACTTACGGCAAAGAGGCAGATAAATTAAGATGGCAGTTCTCAGACCTGCTTGATTTAAAATAGCATGGTGACTGTGTGTATTCATGCAAGTGTGGTCCATCGTAATGATTTCCTGGCATGGGTTTGGGATGACCTGTGTAACTCCCATGTGCTGAATTATGCAGGTCACTGAGAACAAAGGTCAGCTAAACCTTTTTGCCACCCCGTGATGTATTTTAGATACGCCAGATGTTTTGCAGAACTGTGTGGTAATTTAGGTCACTTAAATACATACAACCTTTTTCTGTACCAACACATAAACACACAAATGACTCTCTTTGCCACATAGCATAACACGTGTTGTATTCTTCTGAACTAGCTGGATGAGCACCATTTTTGATAGTTGGACTAACCGTTTAATCTGCAAAAGCAAAACTTCGGTTCCCAGGAGGAACTACTGATGTTTCTGCCACAAGAGAGCTAAACTGAAGGGAACAAACAGTTAAGCTGAGAAAGCCCAAAAAGTGTATTTGTTGACATAAAAATCAGACCATTATTTTATTCTATGCATTGAAAGTTCAGAATTTTTTTTTTAAGATAGGGATTCTAATTTCCAAAGGTGTTTGCACCCTTAGTTGCCATTGTGCAGAATCATTGTTCATATGGCTCTTAATTCAGGCTTGTGCCAGCTCTTTCATTCCAAACCTCTGGCTTTTAGGAGTTTAGAACTCAGCCATAAAACTTTGCTCTAGGCTGAAATTTATCATGAAAGGGTCTGCCTGGAAGGAATCCATTCTTTTGTATTTTAGAGTCCCAAAAGCTTATAGCAACAAACCAGGGATATTATTCTAAAGGCTGCCATACAAAAAACTTCAGCTGTTTTTTATAGGAGTGCTGGGTGAGATGTGCCTTCTAGACTAGCTTCTAGACACTTACTGATCAGGGTGGGGTTCTGTATTCTTAACATTGTAAATTGTAGATCATGGGGTTTTATGCTTCAGGCCCAAAGTCTGTGCTTACTTAAATACCAGTGAATACCTCTGCCCTCACTCATTCCCTAATGGAGTATGAGTCAGTGCAGATTTCCCACCCTCCGCTCCCCACTGCCTTCACGGAGCCTCATGGCGATGCCAAGAGTTAATTCATACTCCAGTACTCAATTAAATACAGATGGACTTGTCTCTCCAGGTGCACAGTTTAGGCTATGACCTTCACACACCAACGTTGCCGACAGAACAGTCCCAGTTGTCCGCAGGTTGGGGAAGGGAGGGAGGGAGGGAGTGGGTATGTGTGGATGGGTTAAAATGACAGAGACTATTTGTCCTTCACTTCTCTGCTGCCCACTTTCACTCTTGTGCCACAGGTTTTTTGGGGAGCACACAGAACGGGGACAGAACTTGTTAGCACTGCATTTGAAGGGCATGTGATGGAGATGGAAGGAATTTCTAATACTCTCTGCTCCTGTAACTGATGCTTACGTTTGCAAAACATTCTGAGACTCGCGATACAACAGTGAAATGCCCACATCAGCCGCAATACTGATAGCTATGTCTCTCTAAAGCTCTTAAACAATGTTCTCTTGAGTAAACACTACATTTGCTGCACCGAGTCTTCTACACATTAAGTCTTGTCACAAAAGTCATCAGATGAAATTATTTGCACTCCCTTGTCCAGACAATCTGATCTCTACAGAGTATGAATCGTTTCTTAAATGTTTGTGAAGTGTCTAGCATGCAGTGGGCACTTCCACAAGTAGTAGTAGCAGCAGTAATATTTTCCTACTGTTTTCACATCTCTAACCGAACAGGAAGTTTACACAAGGCATCAGAAACTACTTTTAGCAAAACAAAAAAGTTACTAGTGGACTGCTATTTGCAAGCAGATCCAACGGACCAGATCCTGATTTCTACAGTATCCACATACGTATGAAGCACATACAGAACCAGATTCTGGACTGCTCTGCACCCCATCTACCGCCTTCTGCTCTATGTTCCCCAAGAAGTTTCACAGCCGCGCAGATTAATTTTTCTTGTTTTAGAAAACAAGCAGCACCTGCCAGGCTCAACTATTTCACTCAGATGTGGCAACTGAGTATAAAAGAGAAATTTCAAAATTCCAGTTTTCTTTTTCTAGTGCAGAGGCAAATTTCTGCAGCTGTATTTTTAAAGGGCTAGAAAAGTTTATGACTACCAGCAACACATAAAGAAAATGCACTATGCTCAGGGATCAACTGTTTGTGACCCAGAGGTCACAAAGGAATACTCATGTTTGTAACTGCGTATCTTCAATTTATGAATTTCCACGTTCTTAGGGTATCTGTTACTGCAGGAAACCAGACTTTAAAACCAATATACCAGATTGGTTTGGCAATCCTTCTCTTTTCACAGTTCAGACTTCTATGTCATTTCTTTTATTTATGCTTTGAAAAAACACTTGTCATTTTTTGAATGTCAACTTTTTCCCAAGGTGACTTGTAAATACTCTTGCACTGCACTTTTGCAGCTGTAGTTCAACCCATTCGTACTTCACATTGTAAAATGCAGAGTCCTATTGGCTCCACTACTTCATACCTCAACACTGCAGTCGGACACCTACATGCAGAAGTTTTTGTAGGACCAGGGTGTCTCAGTGCTATCATATTATCTAAAGCATCTGTCATCCAGTGATTCTTGTCATTTGCAGACACAGGCCCAGCTGTTAAGGTAGCACTGCTTTAAGTTTGCTAAGCACAACACTGCAACTCCTGAGCAATTCAGGAGCATCAGTTGGTTTGGCCTTCAATGAGCCTTTTGTGCAAAGAATCACTTTTGCGAATGAGATGCAGACTCCCATGTCTCTCGTGTCGGGAAATAGATCTGGGCCAGCCCAACCTTGCATTCTTCCAGAAAGGGACCGGAGTAAACATATCAAAACCAATAAAGGGCTTTCATTACAAGTCTAATCAATTCTCTCTTCCAACAGAAAAGAGACTGTTTCCCCCCACAGACAACTTTCCCCAAAATAAAAACAAAAGAAAGGATATGTGGTAAGGGGAGAAAGAAGAACAAAGGAGGAAGAAAAAAACCCACAGCACTGACAGTTAGAAATGTTCAATTACATCTAACAGCATCCATATGCCAGTAACATATCATAAACTCTTAGCCTACCATACAAAGAGGGTGCCCCAAAATGGTACCTGCAAGAGGTCTCTCGGAAGGAGATGTTTAAATCCCAGTGGGTGTGTATCCTGTTAACAAACAAACAGAGAGGTCAATGGCACACGCTGAACACTGCATCTCTTGCCACTTAAAAGATCTGCTCCATCGTGACAACCCACCCATGGTCCTCTCAAACTCCCTCTCCCTAGCTCTCAACCACAACTACTGCCGCCTTCTGAGCTGTGGGGTGCTGTGACGAGCCACACCGCACACACATGGCAGTCCCAAGTGTCCGCAGCGGGACTCACAGTGCTGTAAATGAGAGACCTGCAGGTGAGCTGTACAGCAGTGAGAGAACTTCTCTTTCCTGCAAGCAGTCTCCCTAATAGGTGTAGGGACTGCAGGATGTTGTCTCAACTAATAGGACATGTTCAGAGGAAGCAGAAAGAGCTAAGCATTGACATTTTATGAAGAAAACCCAAATATGTCTGTACTGTATTCCCTCCTCCACACCCACCCCACCTGTAAATAAATTATTAGCAATTTCCCACCTCGGAAATTAATTTCACATACTCTGTTGCACTGCCTGCTGACAAGCAGGAATAGCAGATTCTAGATGAATATCCTAAATTAAGACAGAGCAGCCAAGGGGGTTGGGTTTTTGTTCGGGGGTTGGGGGGGGTCCCCCCCTTTTGCTACTAGGCAGCATCTACATCAACCCAGAGGGCTAAGGCAGATGGCTTGACCTTCTGTGGCCTGGTGTCTCCACTCGCTATCAGGGAGCACTGATCTCCCCCGCCACCCAGAGGAGGTCTGTGACCACCACTGTTCCTCCATGTCAATGTGATTGATGAGAACCCCAGCCATCTGAGACCAAACTGGCAAGCAAGCCCGCATCCTTGCACAAACCCACTCCCACATCTCTCAGCATCTGCTGCTGAACATGCTGGTTCCTAGCTGTGCGTGTAAATCAGCTCCTGCAGATGCAGGTTCCCAAAAGCATTAAACAGAAGTGGCTGCAAATATCACAAGTAGCAGAGGCCAAATGCACTTTTGCATATTTTGTGTATCCCTATAGCACTCCTGCCTCTGTCCTCAACTAGAAAAAGCAACAGTGTGTAGCTGAAGGCCATCTGACTGCAGAAAAAGCCTAATCTAAAACCTGCTGAAGTAAAAGAGAGACTTTCTTCCGATTTGAATGTGCTTTGAATTGGGCCAGAAAACACTTAAGCATGACCAGTGAAGTCAATGGGACTTAACTCAGGTTTGAGTGTCTGTTTAAGTGCTTTCCTGAATGGCTGTCCCTGCTTCAGCCCAGTTCAGAAACCAACTGAAAACAACTCTTAGCATGGAAATAATTTCACATCCAAGACATGATGCTGCTGCAAGTTTTACTGATGTGATAGCATACCTTTCGTGCTTTTCCTGCAAGACTGGCTCAGAAAGGGAGTCTGGTTGCTCCCTGAGTAGTTCTTTTAGGGGCGAGTAGTTCTTTTAGGGGATTGTTAGATTTTAGTAGATACTAACTTCCACCAATAAAGCTGTGCTTAGAACTGTACTTAGTAGTTCCACATGTACCTAGTTTTTCCTATTCTTCTTCCTCATATGTAACAGTTTAGAAAACCTATCCCAGCTTTCCATCTTCCCAACATTTTATTTGCAAATAGAAATGGAATAGGTACTTCCCAGCTACTGAGCATATAGCAGTAACGGTTGTTCTTCAAAGTTAAAATTCAGACAACATTTTAAAACTTCCTGGAAAGAGTAGGCCAAACTGGGGCATTGAGTAAAACGTCCATGAACTGAAGTTTGGTCCAACTCTGGGACGCATTTGGACTTCCCAGGTAAGCTGATCTGAACCCAAAGTTCAAAGGAAATTCAAGCCAGCCAAAGCCCTTACGGCCCGAACAGGCCCGGAAGGGTCTGGCCTGCTCACAAGCGAGTGGAATTGGTGGAGGGTGGGGTAAGCCTGATTTCACACTGCTCCCTAGAATACAAGATTTCCTACATACACAAAACCTTCATAAACCCCCTGTAATTCCAGCTCAGCACCTTGCACTGTGCAAATCAGATGCTGGCAGCTGCGCAGTGGAAGTGGGGAGAGCTCCAAACACTGCACAGCAATGAACGCTGTGGGACCAGCTGGAAATCAAACTGCAGGTCTGAAAAGGAATCTTGTGCTTCTCCTGTTTCTCTGTCCATAAAACATTCTTCAGTGCCCTCAAAAAAACTGGAAGGGTTTGGCCCTGAGCTGTATGCAGATTAAATGCCATGTTTGTCTGATTAAAACTCCATGGTCCCTTTCCTGATGAAAAAATTACAATTCAGAAAACCTGTGGTTAAGGTAACCTGCCCCATGGGTTCTCTGAAGGCAACATGCGTTTCCTCCAAGCAGTGTTCAGAGCCTAACAGTGGGCCATAGTCCACTTTGGACCACATACGTGCTCCCATTACACCCCTGTGGGTGCTCCCCAGGGCCCTCACGGAGCCTGTGCAGCCGGCACACAAAGGTGCACAGCAACAGAGCATCCCATTCTGCTGCACCACGAACCATTCCGTCTCACCCTAAAACTTGGCTAACTACGTGCCTCTCCTTTCCACAGACACTCAGCTCTGGAGCTCACAACATGTAGTAGACATCCATCTATTATAACACTATCTGGTGGGGAAAAAGTGTTCCTCATACCGGACTCTCAAAGCAGGGCTGCAACGTTCCTTTTAACCACGCAGCTAATATACCTCATTCAAAAGCTCCCATCCACACTGGGAACTGTCATCACTCCCAGCTTTCTGACTCAGATCCTGGGACTGCACAGCCTGTACCTTAGTGGGAAGGTCCGCACCCAAATGCCAAGGAAGCAGGTAGGCAGGTACCTCCCAGCCGTGGCACTGCCAAAGGGGGCACGAGGCCGGAGGGTGAAATGATCTGCTCAGGCAGCAAAGGGAACTGACGCCAGAGCAGGAGTTTGCCTGGGCTCCTGGCTCTCCATTGGGGTTCAGTCTCTAAGTTCAACTCTCAGCCTTCCATAAAATGTAACTTCTCATGGTTTGTTGCAGCTGCTGACACGGGTGAACTGCAGATAGTGATCCTCGATGTCGGGCGAAGGCATGGCTCATAATGAGACTTAGCACAGCTAAACTTCAAAGTATAAGAACACTGCATCAGAGAGTTATAAGTAGGGGGGAGGGAAAAACCTCATACCAAAGGAATAGCTCAGATCCACATAGAGGCAGAAACATCCATCTGCCGAGATGGATAATTAAACACCCATATTTAGACAAATGAATAGGTGAGAATGAAATTAAATCCTAATTATCTTTTTGGGGGGGAGGGGAGAGGGATAGGGAGCAGAACCAAGCACTCATTCCACATCTCTATGCCGTTATCACCAATTAGATTTCCGAGGCTAATGTACATCTTGCTTTAACGGGTTATTCATCCAATCAAAATCAAATTACTAATAATTTGCAAACTATCAGCTACACAAGCCCGTCTTTGGGTTGTATGAAGAGTGGCGAGCAGGAGCCAGTCCCTTACAAATTAGTAACAAAACAGGAGGGGGGAAAAATAAAAACCGTAGCCAGGCAAGCAAAGGTGCTACTGTCTCTCCCACCTCCCCACCCACCCAAGGTCTCAGACACAGTGTGTCAGTTAGAAAGTGTTCAACAAAAAGGACCAGATGGGCCCCACAGCAACAGGCAGAGACAGGTTCCCCGCACAGCTTTGTAAGCGGGGAGGGCAGTCTGAGGGGTACGCAAGCTGGGGGCATTAACAAACTGCTGCATCAGGCACCTCAGCAAGGAGGGACTAGAACGTCAGGGTTTGGTTTGTGCAAAGAATGAAATCGCTTATAAATGTATGTGAACCAAAAAAATATTAACAGGAAGGGCTGAGGCTACTCAAGGCATCTCTGGAGCCTGTACTGGAATGAGAATCCAGCCCAGAACAGAAAGCAACAGAGCTGGCAAAATAACGGAGAGCAGCTGGGATAGTTTTTAATTTAAAAAGGTTTTTTTTTTCCTTCCCTCTCATTTCTTTTTTACCCTAGCAGGCCCTGCAAGCTTTCAACACCAGAGTGGCAACCATGGAAGAGGCCAACAGCGTGAGTCAGGCGTCCCCCTAACGTCTTGTCACTCCAGGGACAGTAACAACCTCATTCTGCAGCTGAGCTTCTGCACTGTGGCCAACTTGCTTTCAGCTGCTCCCTTTGGCTCGCTCCGCTGTCCCAGGTACATGCTGCAGTAACCAATACGTGTGCCATGTAAGCGTGGAGAATACTGGGCAGCATCCAGCTGCAGGAACAGGTCATTACTGCCAGAAGGAGAACACATCACAGCACCATGTCTTACCCACAACTGTCCCTTTCTACTCCCATTTAATTATAAGACCAACACTTCCTTTGGATGGAGTTTCTCTGTACCTTTCAATTTTCTAGCACAGGCAAGGCCACAGAGAAGAGAAAAATATTGACAAGGTTTCCCCACATCCTCTGGTTTAGAAGACTGCACTGAAGGGACAGTGTTGGCGAACGGGTGAATTAAGGACTTCTGTTCCACTGGCACAGCCCAACACCACCATGGTCACTGGGAATTCAACGTGCCCTGGGTCAGGCCCTATGTACCACCATCTTGTATGGAAACACAGAGCACTTGGGCACATAGTGAGGCCTATGCAATGCAAATCACAATGCTGCAGGTAAGCAGTCTGGGAAGATATATTTGCAGGTGTCATTACGCAGGCTGCTTGGTTGGATGGTCAGAGCTAGCTCCTCTCTCCTCCCCACTCTTCGCATATAGCACCGTCTCAGCTTCCAGTCTCCCTATATCCATGTCATGCTATTTTCAGGCAGCCAACATTAAGAAGCTTGTGCAGGCAATGAACAGGGGTAGGCTCCTCCAGGAAACCTCATACATGATGGCTGGAAGAATGGCCTAAAGATTACAGCAGGATTGAGACTTGGACTTGGGGCATCTGGGTTATTTTCCACCATGGAATTGATGTTGCAAGGGTCAGATAGAAGGAGATACAGAGAGCAGCCAAAGAGCACTTGTGGGTCAAGATTTCATTTGCTTTTATTCTCACATTTCA